GAAACTTTCCGATCGCACCTCGTATTGTGGGTATGGACCAAAAGTTGTAAGGCAGATTTAATTATTAGTCCTGTAACGAAATTAATACATAGGCCTGCGTTTGTTTTTTAACTCAAAGTTGACACGCCTAGTACCCCGAGAGGATTGTCTTAAATTGCACAAGGCCTCCAGCTTCGCGCACACAGCTGCTGTTTCCGACTTATGAGCGGTACATCACTGCCAAAACATTTGTACATGCTATAAATGAACTGTAGTCCAGTGGCGTATGAACTATACATGAGTCAATCAATAACTCCAAAGAAAATAAACTGTCTGGCTGAACAAATGTTAATGTGCATTGACTCTGCCGAGCGTTGCTTAGGAGTGTGTGACCGACCTATCACCTTGAAATATCTGCAATGCTGAAAGTTTTAATTACGTCGTTGTACCATGCGTTTGTTTAAGTTATTTTCATGCTGCGTTGTACCAATTATATCTAGGCCGTGCTGGACGCTAACTTCTCACCTCTAAGACCCGGGTTTAGTTAAGAATAAATGCTGGAATAGGTTTATCACCGGGTTCTTGAAGCGAAGTTTGTACCAGCTAAGTCCGTGGAATAGAGTCCTTCTTGATAAGCTAATAGTTACTCAGCAGGTCAAGAAATTCCAAGCCTTTTATGCTGCCCGAATTTTAATTTCCGTGTTGGTGACAACCGTTAACAGACCAGACCCCATCGAGAGACACAAACATGCATCGTTTCTTTGAGATCCTGTCAACACCTATTTCTCAAACACCCTCATTCTGTTTTCGTCCATTTTGCTGAGTTGATTTCAGTTATGAAAGTGCTTTTCGAAATTCTCTGTATTGTGCCGTATATAAATCCTACAACCACGGTCTAAAACTGAACCGGAGCCTAAAATGTACGAATTTCTCGTCTACCCCCTTGTCTCTTGCATTTCTCGACAATTTATCCTATTTAAATTACTCATCCTTTGAGTAAGGTCCTCTTTGTACAGTCTCCTCCAGCATTCCAGCATCCTGTCACTTCCTCCGATCAAATTCAAATATTCTCCTCAACACCTATTTCTCAAACACCCTCAGTTTGTTTTCGTCCATTTTGCTGAGTTGATTTCAGTTATGTGCCGTATATAAATCCTACAACCATGGTCTAAAACTGAATCATCTGTCAGGATTAATAATCTTTGGTTCCTGCTAAATCAAGAGATACCACACCACGCATCACAAGGTGCCATGCACAAACAAATGACGTTAGTTAGCCGCGTGGATGACCCCAAAGTTCTACTAATGAATGAAACGAGGTCAGATCCAACCCCCTTCAACATCGTAACTCTAGCGTCCTATTGGTCCTTTTTACCTATGACGTCAGACCAGAGTTTTTGAATGGGTCGTCGTCCTCTAGTGCAATGACCTACATGCAGTGCAACACGGAGGCTCCACGTGGAATTCTGTTCCAGTCCCTCCACCCCCCTACACCTCTGATACGTGTCACAAAATTCCAAATATAGCACTGGGCCACTGGGTCGAATATATAGTACAACCGGCCCCATTCAAAGGCCGCGTTACACATGTAGTGATCAATGATGCCACAA